GCCGCGGGGAGAGCCCGTCGTACCCCAAAAAAAAAAAAAAAAAAAAACCAGACTTTAATGTTAAGGTCGGGCCTCAGACTGAGCTCTGGGGGGAGATAGGGCTGTCTCAGAGACAGGAAACCCTTCATCTGCCTTTCCTCTACGGCCCTGGGCTACGAGACTGCTCATTAGGAATGACGGGAAAATAACCAATTTCACCCTGCTTCGCGGTGGTTTGGAGACAGAAAGAGAGAGGAAAGCAGAAGGCCTGCAATGTAGTGGGGGGGAGATGAAACCCTGAATCATAAAAGCGAGCAAAATAAAACGAGTACGTCAAAGCGAGCGAAGAGAAACTGGCTCCACTGCGGTAGGAAAACCTCCGTAGTCACAGCAAGCGAAAGACCCGGAAGGCCTCTTCGAGAACGCGTTCCCAGCGCCTCTCCGCCCCGACCACGCCCACCATTGCACGGGCACGCGCACGCCGCGGCCTCGAGCACGCCGCCGCTCTCGTCGCAGTAAACGCGGCCGCTCCGGTTGGCCTTGGGGGCGGGGCTGTAGAGGAACTTGCCAAAGCCGTAGAGGTAAGTGGTCGAGGGCTCAGGGACCCTCGGGAGCTTGGTGGAAAGGGAGTTGATCCCTGGGATCCTACCTGCAGGGACTAGTAAAATGGAGAAAGTAGGTGGAGAAACAGGAGCCTGCCGCAGAGGGCGTGTAAGAGGAAATTTCCTCAGGCCGCACCAGACTAGTGCGCATGCGGGCCGAAGGTTGGCGCCTGCGCAGTGGGGCGGCGCCGATATCGCCCCCTGGGGACCGGGGTGGGGGTGGGGGTGAGGCTCGGAGTTAGCTTGGGAACCGCTGGCATTCTGACCCCTCCGCTCTTCTGCCCCTTTCTTTCCACCCGACCTGTTTTTAGCTGCAGCATCTTTTTGAATGGTAATCCAGCTCTATTGGAATGACTTCTTGATGATGGAGTTTAATGATTGCTTGTAATAATTTGCCATTGTACCAGGGTACTTCCTTCAGCGTCTTTTTGATACGGCGACTTTTTCAAAAGGAACGATTATTTTTAAGAACATAAGCTTGTATCTGCTAGGAAGGAAAGTAGTTTATGAATACGAGGTCATCCTTATCATACATGAAGTAAATGTGTTGATCATCTTATCACTGTCAACATAACCATGCTGTGTCTCCCCAAATAGCATTGCTCTCCTATAAGAATCTCTACTGGCAATAGTTCTGACTTCTTGATAGGGTCAAATACTTCATCATCAGTATTTAAACATTCAAAAAAATTTTACTGAGCACCTACCTTAGGCTTGGCAGCCTAATGGGAGAAACAGTTGTGTAAATAGATCCGCAGAATAAGGAAGAAAAAGAAAACGGTAATGGACCAACCCTCATGACACCAACCTTTGCTGAGCTGCTAGCTCTGTGTTCTGTTATTTGTTCATCATTCATTCAGGAAACATTGTGATCCACGTTCTGTGCTAGGCTTTGAGGGTAGAAAGACAACTCTTTCC